TAATATGTGCAGAGGATGAATTGAGCTCTCAAAGTGTGAAAAAGATAATGCCAAGATAGAACCTACACAAGCAGATAATACAAACCCAATCTATACCTTACAGATATTCCTCAAGAAACCTCTAGAATGTTTAAAAACAGCAAAGGAGATTCAGGAGTGGCCAATGGAGTACGAAAAGAGCCTAGCAAAGGCGGCATCCTGGAAGCCACATGACGTGTATCCACAATCTGTGTTCTAACAAAAACGCTCTTTCCTCTCGCAAGTCACGTTACTTGCAATCCAAGGTTTTACTGTAGTTTCAAGCATATATGTGTTTTAGATACCATATTAGGAACTTCAAATATTTTATCTAGTTTCGTCTTTATAACAACCTTGAGAGAGAGCGCTCTTATCCTCATTTTAAAGGTAAGAGAAGAGAGACTAGGGTTAGGTAAATGACCCAAAGTGACATAGGCAATAAGGAGCAATGTGGGTTAGGACCCAGGTCTGTGCTTTCCTCAATCTAATGCAGTCTTTATTGTGTTCACCTTCTCGTGGGAAGAGAGTAAAGGTAGCTTAGTTTCCAGTCATGACATTATTATTTTCATATGTTTTTTTCTTAAGTCCATATACAGAAGTACATAGATTATTGCCTGTGTTCATTTAGAAGCAGCAGATTTGGCTCAGAATCATTGAGCTAATATGGTTAAATAGTTTTGGTCTGAAGAATTCAATAAAGAAATTTTTTTACTTGAAAAAAAATTTTTTTTAAAGTAAATAAATAAAGCCCTGTGTCTGCACACCAAAGAGCCCACAAAGAACCATGATTGAATAGATTACCTGTTTAAAAAGTGTTAGAACTTTATCTCACATTGTACACCAAAATAAATTCCAGATTGATTAAATAGCTAAATAGAAAAAAATTACATAAAAAAATTTAGAATTAAAAAATAGAAAATATTTATTTGTTACTAGATCAGGAAGAAATTTTCCCAGGTAGAAATAATCCTGGAAAAAGTTACAAAAGTGGAGAACTAAGAGATATGGCTGAAATAGAAATGTGAAGCATCTGTATGTCAAAACATGCTATGAAAAAATTAAAGGAGAAACTCAAAACTCAAAAATATTTGCATGAACCTGACAAAGGTTGGCATAATTCCTATAAAGAATTATTACATAAGAAAAATAATACTTCACAGCAGAAAATATTGAAAGAAAATATAAGCACATGAAATAATTGTCATGTGAAGCAGTGTCTAGACACATAAAATTAAAGGAAGAAAATTAAAATTTATGAGATGTCCTTCATCTGAAAAATTTACAAAAATTAAAATGACTGACAAAACATAGAGATGTTAAAAAAAAGGTGTTAATATGCAAGGTACTTAGATAATTTTTTTTAAGATTTTATTGGGGAATTGGGGGAGGGGAACAGTGCTGGGGAATCGGGGGAAGGGGAACAGACAAGTTGCTATTGTTTTGTTCTTCAGTCTAGTTGTGGAGGACGTTGCTTCACTGGTCCAAGCTGGCACCATCATTGCGCTCTTCCCGGGCGAGGCAGATCAGTCGCCAGCCTCTGGACGGCTGCTCATGGCTGCTGCTGACCGCTCACGTTGGATGCTGGCTACACACTGTAGCTTATGGCAGCCCACTGCAGCAGGGGCTGCAGCCTACACCGTCGCCGGTGACTCATGGCAGCCCAGCTCCAGGTTGAGCTGTTGTTCACCATCTTAGCTGCAGAGGGCAGTGTCACTGGCCCTCATATGTGGGATCTGAACCAGGGCCCTCTGGCATCCCAAGCCAGTTCTTAACCAACGCACCACTCGGCCGGCCCAGCGAAAAACAATTTGACACCATTTGTTTTAGTCAAAACAATTTGACTAAAACCCTTAAAAATAATTATATAAACTTTAGGTGAAATAATTTTTCATATTAGAAGCCATTATATGATGATAGTGATCCAGGCAAAATATATACATAAAAAAGATGTTCTCAGTCACCTTAGATATTAACATTTATAAATACCTTAAATATCCAGCCATAATACAAATTACCTTAAATATTATGCGGCCATTATGGAGCTGTCATTGAAGAATAATGAGTTTGGTAAATGGTAACAATATAATCTTAAGTGAATGAAATAGTATAGTAACTATGCCATGTGATACCAAATTTGTATGTGTATGTATTAAAGAAATATATCAGGTAGTATGATTGTGGGTAATACATGACATTTTCTAACTCATATGTTTATTGCCCAAATTGTCCTCAGTAAGCATGTGCTTTTAAGGTATTATTATTATTTATTAATATATTAACTCTGCTAATAATAAGCGTTGTTTTAATACAAAGAGGTCAGGAGAAAAAAATAAAAAATAAAGCCAAGACATGGTACTATCACAAACTGTAGAGTTTACCGGGGGCCATTTAAGAGGCAAAGGGACATTTTCTAAAGTGGACGCATTTTTCTCAACTGTCCCCAGAGAGCAGAAAAACTGCTTTTTCTCAAACTTTGAGGAAGTTGACTCAGAGAGACTCATGGGAGGTTTTCCATTTTGCCTAAAACAATCGTTTGCATCACTGAGATCATTTCCTTGCACCGAGGAAAGATTTCACGGCATAGACCAAGGTGGACAGAGCTGCCTGACTTCCTCAGACCTTGGTGCAAAAGCCCCACCATGGTCAGCTGATGGTGGTGCCCATGTATTGATACCTTTGGCTGGAACCTACTGTTATGTTGATTTTAGAAAAAATATCTCTAAGCTATTTTATTAGAAGTTATGTAAAGGACAATTCTTAGGATCATAAAAATAATTTTTGATTCTAATAACACTATTCATTTTTAGAGTGCAAATTGAAAAATAGCAGAGAAAGCATTCCATTTTAAGTTTCTCATGTGGATATGAGCATGTAACAAACTACCTACTCTATATCTCTATTAGTATTTTATTCACTAAGCAGCCTCTATGTCTTCTTTGAAAATTGCCTCCTTCCTACCATTTAGCTTCCTTAGAATTGTGCTTGTCATGATAGGTTAACACAGGACTCCGTATTATCACAAGCCCTTACTTGTAGAAATTTGAGTTTTCATGTTTCAATCGTTGAATATGACTTTTGAATCAAAGAGGCTGCTACTTGTGATTTCTGGGTTGGTGCTCTATTTTGGATGCTTATAAGAAGACACATTTCCCCAAAGTGGTTAGAGATACCAGGAGCTCGTCTTTCATTTGCTAGCCCCACAGACTTTCCCGTGGCATATTGTTTACTAGTGAGCACTGGATGCTGAACTTTATGGAGAAGCTTTGACTGCTTCTTGGAACTCTTACACTCTCTGGTCAGAAATCAGCAAAAAGGCGAGATGGTACGAGAGATTATAATCACAGTGAGTCCTTCTTTATGCCCATAAGAAATGATAGTCACTCTATTGTGCTTGAATGAGTATCACTATAGCATTTTTCAATGAAAAGGGAGGAAAGGGGGCATTTAATAAAAACTTTGGCACAGCCCCCACCCCTGAAAAGACACTAGTTGATGTAATTCCTATAGCATACGTGGCTGTTCAGTTGAACGAGGTTTGTGTACCTTAGACAAGACGGGTGTGTTCGGGGTGGTATGGCTGTAGGCAGCTGGCATGCATTAATCACACCTGTGTCCTAGGGTTTAACATGCCAATCCCTTGTCTCCCTTTCTTTGTGCCAGGAGGAAAGTAGCATCCCATAGAAGAGCTTTTTATTCCCAAAGGAGCTATCTTGCTGTTAATTCTGACATAGACTTGCATGAAGCACAAGGAAATTCAGATTTAAGCCTGCCGTGTTGAGAGTTTGCTTGGTTTTATCCGGGTATTACAAGACACAGGATGTTCGGCATGTTCTGAGGCCCCTGAAATACCTCGCTACCGCACAGGCCATATTTTTTAATAACCACTTTAACACAGTGCAGGGGAAATCTCAGCCACACACAGCTCAGGATGCTGTAACCACGGAGCCTCCTGGGAGCAGTCTGTCCACTCCTCGGCTGGTTTTCTTGTGACACACATCTTCCGTCTAAATTCTTTATCAAGGCTTCTTTGCCTCAGAGTGGTAAAGAGCATGGACTCCCCAGTTGAGAGACAAATGGCGAATGTGTTAGTGGGGAAGGGCTGGTAGCTACAGCAGTTCTGTATCATCGAGTGTGTGTGATAAAACCAGCGACTGGGTTTTCTGGGTCTTTGCCTGGGGAGAGAAAGAAACAGTCATGGAAGCTAGTAACACCCACGATTCTATGCATATCACACCCCAGGTATTTTTAGGTATAGAGAGGTATACACTATATACTGATGAACAGGCACCTAAGAACAACAAAGATATATTTGGCTGAGGAATGTCTAAAGCATACCAGGTGGCTACCCGGAGAACAGATGTAGTTATAAACACAGATGTGTGTACGGCTGCAATGACATTTCATTGTATCACATCTATCAGGTCATGAGCAGCTTATAATTTTCTTTTTCTAGTCACAGCCAAACATTATAATGGCACAGCCCATAAATCACATCAACATGGAACATTGCTTAGCAAATATAAATGTGTGTGCATTGCAGAGTGATCTGAGATTACAAAAATGCATCAGAAGTCAAAAGTAGCTGGTGGAGAAATGCCCCGTCTTTAGTTTATTGAGATTGTTTGGAGGATCCTAATGTACTGTCACTGAAAGAATACTTTTTCCTTTACAATCTACTTAGCAAAGATTTATCGATCCTTTCCCCCTTCATAGAGAATTACTGATCCATTTTAGAAAATCAGATTTTCACACCTTTCATGAGAATGTGCCCAGTGTGGTTCTCGGGGGACTGCCCGGGAAGTTGACTTTGACACGCAGTCCCTTGGAACTAGCACACCACAGCCGAGAGTCTCAGCACTGATTTGTTGCACCAGGCAGTAAAATACTTTCCTACACTTACAGAGAAATGATGGTACTGCAGGACTTATGTTTCCATGCTAGTGGATGTATTCAGGGTACTGCTATTTGTGTAAACAGCATTTTTCAGATGTGCTTTTTCTTTTTCTTTTTCACCCCTGTCTTCTCAGCTGTGGTGCTATGAACAGTAAGGTAAGATAAAAGTTGTTGAAATTCATGCTGCAAAGCTGTGGGATGCTGTAGAATTTCTTAGCGTGTGTGTAAATAACTTTCTTAGAGACGTATGTGTCGGTTGCCCCTCATTATGGGAGTATCAGAGTAACGATGCAGCGGGCCTGCTATCCTGAAGTATGCATCATAATGAAGGTGATTTATTATAATTAAAACAGTGTGGAGAGGAGCTTTGTATTAGACATACTGTTTCACAGAAGAGCTTAATAAAGAGCGTTATTATTAATGGATTTGGGTGAAGCATGTTGTTTACTGGGAGTTATGTGAGCATTACTCAAAGTCTGAAGTTGCTCTTTGAGTTGTTCTGTATTGGGAGGGAAGAAACATTCAGTAAACGAAGAGTTTTAATACTGCCAGGAGGCTAGTGTGTATGTGTTTGCGTGCAAGTAGGAGAGAGAGGGGAGAAAGATAGAGAAGAAAATGACGCGCACCTGAAGTGTTCTCAGCAGGAGCAGTTCTAGGATACTTTATTACATATCTATGGAGACAATGGCATGGACTGTAAGTAGCTCCTGTCTCTTGATATAATAATGCACATAAAGTCGGGGTCAGACTGGGTTCGCTGTGGGCTTTGATGCTGCGGAAGGTCACCAGGGGAATCGATGGACCAAAATGAGCCCTGAGTTTCATGCAATCAATGCGATTTTTCTATTTAAAGTGGACACTGCTGGGTGTGAGTCTCAAGTGTCGAATGTGGTTTGGCTCAGCTTTTCAGATCAAGAGTAGATTGCAGTGCAAATAGGTTGTTTATTATCATAATTGAGATGAGATGATATGGCGAATGCGGAACAGGAGAAGCAACCTGCAAATGCTGCTTTCAAGTTCGGTGCTCTGTTACTTGGACAACCAAATTAGGAGCCACTTGATTGCTGAAAGATGCCTTGTGTTTTGTTTATTTTGCTATTTTTAATGATTCAAAAATAAGGAAACCCTTTAAAAATGAAAACCAAATTGTTACTAAAACCAAAATATTTCTAAATATTTTCTATATTCTATGTATTCATTTATCCATCCATCTATCCATCCATGATCTATCTATCCCTCATCACTTTGCTGATTGGAAGATAAATAGAAGAATTTTCTAATGTACATTTTTTTCCCATCAATACCATTTATAATATAAAATTTTTAAGTTTTGCTCAATCAGAATGTTAATGGAAGATTTTTGAGTATCCGCGAAGCTAGAAGCGCTCTGATTTTGCATCAACTCTTCAAGCTCTCTTACTCTGCAGTGGCAAGCAGCTTCCTATTTAAAAAAACAAATTATAAATTCAGTTTTCCCACCAGAATAAAAGTTCTAGAGCTGCTGAAAGAGCTGTTATTGGTTTCTTTTCATTAAGTCACATTGCCACTGAGATACGCTGTGTGTCATTTAGGAAAACAGATTACAGAGGGAAGGCACTGTCGCTTTCTGTTTGGGGGAGAAGGCGGGTGAGGAGAGACTGGGGTTTATAAAAACATTCTAAGGAAGTCTTTGAAGGACACCTCTTTTGCTCTTTCCCACAGGAGGACTGGTAGCCCCAAAGACAAATGTAACTGGCATAAAATGTTTCTGCATTTTACTTAGGGTAAAATTTTATTTCTTCCTGCAAATCAGGGTTGTAATCTACAGAGAAAAACAAGCCAAAGACTCCAGTTATTAAAGGACCAGGAAACTGGAGAAATAAAGGAATATTAACCTTCCATTACATTGAAACATATTTGCCACTGAATTGTCACTTGATGTTTCTTCTTACACTCTAAAAGATCATATTGCTGCCCAGCTTTTAATTTAAACTTAATTTCATTTTAACTTCCAGACTTTTAATTTAGTAAAAGAAGACATGAGGAAATAAGTTGAAATCACTGTTGACCCACAGCGGAAAGCCAAGTTCAGGCTCTTTCTCACATACCCTGGCAGACTTTCATTCAAATAAGCATGTTTTTTGTTTGTTTGTTTTGTTTTGTTTACAAAGAACTAATTGAGTATGTTTGTAATAGTACAGGTCAAATACAAAGAGGCCTAAATTTATTTGCTGAAACTGGAAAACTGTGCCCAGAGAATAAGAAATGATAAGAAAGAGGCAAGTAGGCGGAGAACAAGGGACGAATTTTGCCCATAGGATGATGTTAGCAGGGCCTTTGCAACTGAGGCAGCTTGCCTGCACCTGCAGTTATGGATCTTGGTAGTCGGGAAAAACTACAGTGATTTGGTTTGCATTATCATCCTTAGCTCTCCAAAGTCTTCTTTTAATGATCTCTAGAGCTTTGGGGCAGTACAGATGACTAGAACTCTCAGCCAAACCATTTTGTGTATTTAATTGTAACAATCACAAAACAACTCAGAAATACCCTACTAAAAATTTCAGAATATGTTTCCATTGGGTTGAGCCTTAAATCTCAGGAATGTGAAATACCATGTAAACATCTGGAGGGTGTGGAAAGAATGATTTCATTATAATTAATTGTCATGAGTGATGTGCTGTATTGTTTCATTCTAGTCACTCAGTTATTTTTTAAGGGAGTCATCAACATTTATTCTACATAACACTAAATACAAAATTTGATTATGAGCAGAATGATTTGTTTTTCCTTTGTTTTACCAGTGATTCTTTAAGACTTTAAAAATGAGAGGAAGGGGGTAACTTTGAAATTTATAGTTGTGATTCTTACTTTCCAAAATGAGTTTATTTGTGAAAATAATGGGATGCTTAAATTTTCTTCAACATAGAATTTTTAAAAATCATATGTTTTATGTTTCAAGAAGGACTATCTGGTAAATATTCTTTGTATATTAACTTACAATGTATGCCATTTTATATTTTGTAATATATGATGTTTATTTATATTTAGTATTATGTTATATTTATATTTATTATTCCTTATATTTATTATTTTACTATATTTATTATTATATTTATTATACCATTTAACTCTTAGTGTCCCATATTTTTAACTTGTAGGGTCCATGTCAAAATGAAAGAGTTCCCCCTCATTGATTATGATTTTGAAATATTTATTACATGGTCCTCATTTGAAAAATGGATTTGAGAGGCTCAGTCACTGTTTAAAGACCCCAAGGCCTTTTGGGGAGGGTGAATTAAGACTGCCACTGAGATGCTTCTTCCTACAAAATCACTTCCCTTCAGATGAGAGTACTGGGATAATGGAAAAATCCTTAATCTCAAAAACATCCCTGAATGTGCCACCTGAAAATTAACCTCATTCATCCCTTTCCCCACCTTCACTTTTTTTCTTTTTTGAAATCTCAGAAAAATTGAGCACATAAATTAAAGTGTCCCTTTAACTTCCCTAACTTATGCAATTGGCATTCACTTAACAGAACCCTGGGGTTCAAAGACCTTGACAACAGCACAGAGGTCGTGCTTTCACCCAAATAAACTGCTCATGAACAATTTTTTTATTGTCTTAGACTCAAATGGGCTTTTCTTTGATTTCAAAGATAAAAGAGGTCTTCTTTTTGTCTTTTTTTTTTTGAGAAGACATTTATTGTGGTTATTTCTGAGAAAATCCCACTTTCCTGTGATGTTTGCTTTCTGTGCACCTTCAGCATTGTATCAGGCACATAAAGAGGTAGTAGGATCTGATCCTGCACTTAATGCGTTTCCGTTTGTGTTGGGAGGCACCTCCTCCATGTTTCCAGCACCACAGACCAACAAGTCTTGTTTATTGTTGTTTTTCAGAAACTGGTCTAGTTCTAGAGAAAGGTTTTGATTGATTATACTCGCTGAGAGATTCTTATCTCTGTCATCCTGATGGCTTAGAAGTACCATCAGCAGGAGTTAGAATATCTTTCTAGTTTTCTGAAGGCCGAGAGTAAACAAAACATCTCTTCCCCACTTATCACCTCAAATTAGATTAGGCAAAGAAGAAATGTGCAATAAGCAGTTTTCCATAAATTTCCCAAAAATCAAATAGATAGTAGGTTTATGTTGATGGCTTCAAGAAGGGGCCCTTGTTGGAACATTTTACTCTCCTGAGTAATCTAAAGGGACCAAACTGAATGAATGTACTGTCCACAGAGTTGTGACAATAGAAGCTGCAGCTAACTGAGCATTCAAAGATTAAGGCAGAAAGCAGTTTAGCAGCTTTGGAGCCCCTGGCTGGCAGCATAGGGTTGTTCCTTTCCACTTGGGAGAACTATTTAGAGACTTACTCTGTCCCACCAAGATGCAGGTATAGTTCACATTTTTCTGCCACATACACTACTCTCTTATACAATTGACTCTTGAACAACATGAATTTGAACTATGTGGGTCCACTTATATGCAATTTTTCCCCCTTAATATCTGTGGGTTTTGTATCTGCGAGTTCAACCAACCAAGGATGGAAAACAATATTTTCAGTTTCCCAATCTTAGTTGGTTGAATTTGCAGATGCAAAGAGTTGATTATAGGTAAATTATGGGGACTCAAAAGTTATACATGGATTTTCAAAAGATGGTAGTCAGAGTCTCTTACCCATGCTGTTCAAGGATTAACTGTACCATTCGAGTACTTTTCCATCACTTAGGTCATCTGGACATTAGTTCCTCTGGGCTTTAAAAGTTGCATTCTCTTCAGGAGAAAAATTAAGTTATTTCTAAAGAATTTGAATACTCCTATGAACATTCGAAGGCCTCTGTTTTTCACAGAAAATGGTAGCTTTATTTTGCCAAGAGTGAATGTATTTGAATCACAAAAGGTTTAAGTTAATTTAAAGAAGATAACTAATAGCAAAGGTCCCACACACAAAAAATCACATCTCTAAAATTTAACCTGAAGGCAATTTGAATCTTGGAGAAATGTCTTCACATTTTTCAATATGGCTTGACTTCCTTATAAACTTGGAATTAAATATAATGTTTAGTCTTTCTTGTAGGTTCCTTTAAAAACCTCTTTAGTAATGCTGCTGAGCTCCTCAAAACCTTGCTTTATTATCTATACTCACTCTAGTTTTTCCTGTTACCTTAAGTATCTCTT